CGAGCCAGGTGTGGCTCTTGATGATTGCATCTGACTTTCTCAGATAAAATTGGAATTAGAAACTTCAGGTTTTGTGATTTAAAATAATAAATCTAGAGGCTTATTACACGCATATTTAATTGAATTCAATCTTAAGGTATATTATATGGCTCTCACTGAAATTTATTTCCAAATAGAAGCAAACATGCGTGCCCCAGGTTCTTGTTGTAAAGAAGAGGAAGACGCGATCTCCGGAACGATATTTCCAAATATTTCCTTTCTTGGTTTTCCGAGTCAAAAAAGTTCCTGACCTCTGCTCTATAGCGTGAACATTTGTGAACGCTTAGATGCGAAAATATGTTGCGACTAATGAATTTCATACTCATAGCAAAGCTACACGTCCAAAGTAGTTTTGTAAGGACTTAAATCATCAAACATTTCTTACAGACATTTCTTACCATACTCGATTGCGTACTGAGTAACTACTTCTGAGTTTTATTGGTATGGGTGAGTGAACAAGTATCCCATCAGCGCTAGTCAGTGGTGCAACCCAGCTTGCATTTCTGTTGTTGTGCTAGAGGGCATAGTTAGCGACTCCTCCAATACCTAGAGACGCTTAGATTATCTATCAAAAACCACTTTAACTGAAGGAAATCACGTTTTTTGATTCTAGTGCGAGATAAAACCCCCATACTTGCTTTGCTTACTTAATAACTGAGGACCTCATACACGTTAAACCGAGCAGAAGTGCAATTTTTAAGTTCCGTACCTATTACTTGGACTGCAAATTATCCCCGAAAAGCTTTGTCTGTTTATATTATCTATCAAAAAAAACAATTTAACCGAGTAACATTAATTTTGGAGTCTAGTGTGAGATAAATCCCCCGTTACTTGCTTTGCTTATTTAATAATTGAGGACTTCATACACGTTTAACTGAGCAGGAGTGCAACTTTTAAGGTTGGTACCTACTATTTTTAGTGCAATTTATCTCTAATGAGCTTTCCATGCAGACTTTTCACAAGGTCAGAGTTTTCTGGTCATTCTGATCATTCAAGAAAAAATAATGATTGTCGTTCGCGTGAAGTAAGTGCATGACGATTATGATCCCAAATAACTTGTCACAGAGAGCGACCGATTTTCTTTCTACTCTTAAACTTGAGAGCTTTAGTTTGGACGGCATTTGTCCCACTAGATCTACTCGATAGTCCCTCATTACAGCCGAGAAAAGTGAAGTACGTGAATGTCGTTGCAACCCAGACAATGGAACCCATCGAGTTAGAAAACGCATAATTTTTTTAAGTCTGTAAATCGGTGCCTTCATCGCATAGGTTTTCACGGCAGGATCCCGGTTACACGGTCTACGAGCGACAGGAAGAAGCATGGATAAGGCCCCAACTCGATGGTCATTCCGATACATCTGATGAGTCAAATGATGCAGTTGGACTGGAGGTGGACGGATCTTCTGCAAGCTGTCCTCGCCAAACATTTGCCGCTCAAACTGCCTTTGCATGGGATACGGAGAGTGAGGAAGGAGTTAGCCCTTTAGGGACTAAAAAACAAAGCGATCTCCACTGCCTGCAGAACTACGATGATGCCAATTGTGAATAGGGTGCTAGGACTTCTCAGCCGCTCTTCGTTGGATTCGTATGGTATCCTTCCTCCTAACCATAGTTACTAATCTTTTATTATTACTGTTACCCGTCACATTATTATCAATAGTATTATCTTTGAAAGTTGACAGTTTTAACCTATGCTGACTAATGGCATAATGCGGACCATCAGAACAATGAGTTGGTCGACATTAATTAAATTGGGTCTCTGCTCAGTAAATCTTATACTTGAAGATGTCGCCGGTACAAGAGGGCGGAATAATTGGAATGAAGTTAATTACAGAGAGAAATGGGCAAGGTTTGCTAGAATAGTACGTATAAATTAATGAAAGGAATCGCTCAGACACCTGTTTTGCGAATGTGGGGTCTTTTTCAGGTTTATGGACATAGCTTAAAGTGCACGCCGAAGTCCATAATGCAAAAACTATTGACCATAATAGATGGGGCGTTGTATTAAGAAGGTGGAGTAAGAGATTGACGTTCGCGTTTCTTTTTGAAACCGTTGCTGACTAAACGATGCGCAGGCTACTTGGAAGTCGTCCAGATTTGGTAGTTTTTGTCATGTTAAAGGTGCTTCAGTATTAAAACGTCCATTAAGAGCGTCAATTCTTGAGTAGTTACTTCGCTAATTTATACGCGAGATTAAAACTTAATATGGCTCAAAATGGTCATGTTTTGTGCCAAGGAGTTCGGTTTTCCGGACCTTCCTTGTTTGTCATACCTATCGGGTAGGACTTTCGACTTTGCCGTGCATTATTTGAAACTTTTTAAACAGGTGAGGTGGGAACTTTTTCCTAAGTATACAGTCAGGAATAGCCTTCTAACTAACATCGTATGAAAACTTTATTGCATGCGTTTTCTTAAAGGTATTTTTGCAAGTAACTTGGCGGCACTCTGTACATGAATTTCGCTTATATGGTCCTGCAAATGTGCTGTTAACTTTTCCTGCATAATTTCTTATAAACTTTTAGCAAAAAGTTGCATATAAAGGCAACCGACCGATGACTGTTTTTACAAGGTTACTTAAAAGAACCATAACCCCATTTCGCACCGATTTCATTCAGTGCTTGTAAAGGCATTTATTAAACTGTAGAAAGTTCGATGACTGTTTGCTTCACAATTTTGCTGTTATTGTTGTTAACGCTAAGTCTCGTTGGCTCGGCAGATTTTGATGATGGGACCATATCGACGAAATGTAACTATTGCGGGAATTTTTTTGTGATTTACTCATCGTTAGCGATTTAGGACACATTTCATCAAACATCAGAGGACCCGTTAGAACAAAATATTTGTATGACGGTGTAGGGTTAGCAAGAAATGCTATCAATTGTTCGCCATTGAAAACAAACAATTCAAGTGAGCACCGGTTTATTAGTCCACAAGATATCAACCAATTTGATATAGCCTTAATAGGCTTCTTAGTCTGCCTTTACCGAAATAATTCTTCAGAAGAGAAAAAAAATTCCTTAACAGGTTTATTCCTGTTTGCGACGCAAAATACAGTATAAAGCAGAAACACATATAAAATATCTTCGGATAAAGTGGATTATGGTTACAATGTCCAGCTTGTATTTCCAAACCGGAATCTCAACCCACTTAGAGACACAAGGAGACACCATATTAGATCATAGCATTATATAATATAAGTTTGTTTACTAAAACACCTTAGCATTTTCCTGAGTCAACAGTTGCATACAATTTTGGGCACAAGTGAATTGAATTGTAAGAAGAGAGCCAAATAGTATTTTTAGGCAGCAACTTCTTCCCAGCAACCTACTATTATATATATAGATCGAGTTAAAACCTAATCTATTTGATGCTACCAGTGTTATTTAAACCAAAAATAAAATCGAAACCACACTCACTGGCTGCCACAACCTAATAGTTGTTTGCATGGCGCTTCTTTGAAAGCTACCGATTCGGGCTACAGGAATAATGTCTTACGCCAGATCACCATCCGTTTATGCAGCGACTAATCAGTGACTTACAAACTTTCCTTATTCATTGCGCCTGAATAGCAAGATATTAGTTTAAAATAAAAAGCATAAGGTCCACGTCCAGTGAAATCCTCGGCCTACTTTTAACTTACACCTTTTTGGCGCGCTTGACAGCCTCTTTTAGTGCTGTTTAACTTTTAAGTATACTTTACCAAATTTTTGATTCTGTGTAACCTTGACATCTTTTTCATTTTAGAATGTGACACATCCCCAATAGCTGCCAGATTTCCGCATTTCCAACACATGATTTTTATTCACAGGCCACACAGAAAACCAAATTCCTACAAAATCTCAAGAATCGCAAAATATGAAAATCCGTTTCTAAAAATAAAACAAATAGGAGAGAGAACGATATGCGCTCTTTGTGACTTCCTCTTTTTTGAAATTTTTAATTTTTAAACAGAAATCAGACCATGTGCGTCTATTCAGAACAATTGTCAGCAATATCTACCGGAAGTAGGCTGTTTGCATTCACACCTTTTTTACCCAGAATCACATAGTGCTCAAAGTAGTCCTCGGTAAGATCAGAATTGTTGGAGATATCGTCACTTTTTACCAATGGAAACTGCTTTAGCTGTTCAAAGTTCCTCCATGGCACAAAGTCTGGATTGTTCGATTCCTTCCACCTGCTATATCCACGAGCTGCGTCGAGAAGACACTTCAACATTTTTGGTGCCATTATCTTAGTTGCGATATTAACGGCAAACGTCGGGATGTTCCCTACACAAATAAATAGGGAAAAATGTAGAAATATGAGTCTCAGTCAAGCGGACAGTAAACAAGTGAAACCCGCTTGCGTCTGGGCGCTTCCATTAATCCACGCACCGCTTCTGAGTACCGAAACTACCAAAACAATAAACGAGTTGCTGAAGGCAGGCTATTTTAGCATGCAGTACTTTTCATATATCATGAAATCATTTTATGAGTTAAATACTCGAGGTCCCCGCGTTAAGAAATTTCAAAATCAATTCACACTTGCTTTAGAGCCAAAAGTATAAACTAAACGAATTAAATCGAAATATGATCGTATTTTTTGAGTAAAAGAAAAATAATTAAAGGTTTTAAACGGGCAAATAATCCCACAGTTGATGAATAAGTGCATAGCAAGTCTTCGTTCGAGGAAATTTTTAAGGAAAATACAGTGGAGAGACGCCAGGAATAATGAGCATTAAGACAAAAGAAAACATTTCCAGACTATTAAGCAATTACTTTTGCCTACAAGTATAATTATTCGTGGTAAGTTATCTCAAATTTGAAAATTATAAAATTGTAAAAGAATTTACTATCCTGAATCTTTTCTTTAAAACAGCTAACTGAATTTACAGTGAATGTCCTCACTGTATTGCTTACTCAAGTAATCAGAAAAAACCCACAGAGGTCAAAAACGACAAGAAACGATAAAACTAACCTTTGGGATCCGACTGTGAAAGATAAGTAAATTTACAGGAATTCTGACCAGTCCGTTCAATTAGATATCCAGTGAGATAAGAAGCTGCTCTAACTACTCCATGTCTCGGGGGAACTTGCTACCATTTACTTCAAAATCACAACTCACTTTATGAAAAACGCTGTGATTGATGATAGTGTAAATGTTATCCTTTACTGACCAGCAACGTTGCGTAACAAAGTCCCTGTCTCTTAAACCATGAGGAAATTTAACTAAAGCCTCAGTAGCCAGACGGAAAACCTACGGTAGTAATAGCCAATTTCACTATTCGGTGAAACATAGGCAATGCGATTTCCCTCTTTCATCATGAAATCCCAGGTTTTGCGATACTCAGCATCGTGAAGACAGTCATATATTGATGCTGCCTGAACATTAAACGTTTTTGCTTCGACCTTGGGATATAATTACATTAAAAACTTCTGGCTTCAAACTTTTATAAGCTTAATAGCAGAACAATCCAAACATTTGGTAGATGTTGTAATCTCATGATCCGGTTTCTTTTTAGAGTGAAAAATGGTCCAACCTTCTTTTTCTGAGGCAAATTCTCTGAAGTGATCGAAGTCAGCTTCTGTCGGTTCACGAACCTCACCTAGCGCAAACATACTAAAACTCGGTCAATTTCAAATATTATTGTGACCTCAGCGACCTCACACTGAATTGGCTTAAACAAACAATACTCATTCTCAAGTACTAGTAACCGCAGAGGTTGACGACTGTATAAAGGATTAATTCTAACGGGTATGATGGATAAGGTGACGAAGCGGGTAACTATGATGATAGGCGTGAATAGCATTGGCGTGAAACAAGATAGTGCAGCGGACGTCCAAAATTTATGTGGGAAGGAGTACCGACCATTTGTGCCAGCACACGGGCCAACCATCTACATCCTATATATTCTCTAAGGGTTTTCTAATAATTTCTAAATGTTTAATGTCTAAATTTTTTTTTTACTATAAATACATCATTCCCTTAAAAATACAGCATGTACGGACCATAGATGTACATAAAATAGAACTATTAAATCTGAAACATACATTATGCGAACGAGTTTTCCTTTGAAGTAAGTGATGTTGAGATGGACATAAACTCTTGTTTGTTTGAAGGAGAACTACAGACCCGAATTTTAGTTTGCTAAGCTCTTCATTGTGTATTCTCTCAAAGAATGTAACCCTGTTTAACTCAGGGGCAATACGCCTGAACGCGATGGTGCAGTCATTTTAATGAAATTGGCCGACTGCTCTAACGGGAATAATGGCAAATTCGTGTAAAACCTTGAAGTCACAGAAGAAAATGTGAGAAAGGAACTAATTGCGCTTAATTAATCTATAGCCCCGAGTCAATACGAAGTACCGGAAAAAGTACCTAAACAGCAGGCCTTCGCAGGTTGTACTTGTCCTTTGATTTAGGCATTCTTAACTCTGATTATGAAGTGATGAATGTGTACCTCATTCAGAAGGTTCGGAGCAGAAAATGTGCTACAATCCTTCGGTTGGTGAGCCAAACATACGCTTATCGCAAATTTATGGCAATGCTAATAAATAAGCTATCACAAATTACCCCGAAAATAGACTTCCTTTTCGAGAATCCACTTCTGTTTGACCAACATATTTTATGCATTGGAACAATAATTCAGGTAATTACCTGTAGACACGAGCGTTGAGGTCGTTTACATAGACTCCATTAAAGCCTGCAATAATAACAAACATCGTAATTTCATTCAGTATCAGTTTAAACGTTGCGTCAAAATAAATATGCAGTATCGATCTACTTGCCAGTGCAAAATATCCTGGTAACCAAATATAGTTACTGGTCGAAAGAAGAAAGAGCGTTCACCGGGAGCGGTTTATTAGGTGTCTGACGTTTTTGGTTGTTGTGTCCCCTACCCGTCTTCATAGACTGAACGTTCAGGTCCACAGCCCTTCTTAAGTGCCGTTCCTTACGCGTGTGTGTATTATCGCAGCTCCCAACCCCGTTAACTTCCCGTAGCGCTGCATCGGTTCCCACCTCACCATCGCTTGATCCGTCCCCACGCTCATTGACTGTGGAGATATTGAGCAGTCCTGATTGTTTCACGCCTGTTGTGTCGCATCGGCCTACATCTTAGAATCCTCTATCCCTGGTAATTTGTTCCATACTGCATAAAAAATAGTATGTAGAGTAAAACAGTAGAGTAAAAAAATAAAAATATGCGGTGATGACTGTTGCGCCAAGAATAGTTTAGGTGCCCGGAAGTAGTAAAAGATGAAACTAACAACCGCTTAAAACGTAAATAATCAAACGTACCATTTAGAATTTTTAAAACAAATAGGATCATGCATTGTAAGCCCACAACATTCTTGGTATATCAGATTGGGATCATAATTATAATAATTATAATGTGTTTATTATGCCAGTTTACAGGCAATTGTAAAGAGTTGGTAGTG